CACGAAGAATAAAGAAATTTTCTCCCAGTTCATTTCTTTCAAACCAAGACAGAGGGATCAGGTGAGATTCTGGCTCAATGTATGGTACGGTCTGAGACCATTATGTCAGGTCTACCCTCAGATTTCAATGCTGCAATGGACAAGAATGCTTTGATTAAAGATTGCATTGAGCTGCTAAGGGAGCAAGCTATCTGGGACCTGGGCACCAAAATTCAGAAGGAGTATTCATGATTACCAATGGGCGACCCACTTCAGTTCCTGATTCAAATGCACACAAGGACAGAAGATGGTGGAATGCTGGACATTCAAGAAATTTCACGGTTAGATCATTTTACAAAGTGCTGTCAGACCACACAACCAAAACATCTCATGGAAATGGATTTGGAAAGTGGGCCTCACATCCAAGATAGATTTCTTTCGGTGGATAGTTATTTTGACAAAATTACAACTACAGCTCATCTGGTTACGCAGGGAAGGACTGTTGATAACCGGTGCAGATTTTGTGGACAAGTGGGAGAAGTGCTACATCACGGACTGGTTCAGAGCAGAGAGGCTTACAGTATCTGGATCAATGTTTTAAAACACAGAGGTGTGACAAGAGGCATTCCACTACCTAGAGGCGCGAGGCGTAGTTCAGAACGTAAGAGGCGTAAGCCTCCCGAACACAAGGAGGCGTAAGCCTGCACCTCCTTAAGAGGAGGGGGTCAGGAGGAAAAAGAGGAAGGGGGGATCTCATTTTTTCTTTATTTTTAATATTTTTTTATATTAAGAAGAATAAAGATGCATAGAACTAGTTTCTTTCCTCTTATCTTTTCTTCCCTTCCCTTTCCTTTTCTCTTTTCTTTTTCTTCTCTTTCTTTCTTTTTCTTTCCCTTCCCTTTCTTTTCTTTTCCTTTCCTTTTTTCTTTTTTCTTTTTTTTCAGTCTTTTTACATGAGGTGTGCATGAAGCACATGAGGCGTACACCTCTAGCATGCCTCGTGAAAAAAGCGCATGAAGCGTACACCTCTTGCACCTGAGGCGTACGCCTCAGAGGTGTCAGTGCCTCTAGCCTACGCCTCAGGGCGTTTTGGAAGTGCCTCGCCTGGAGGCGCCCACGCCATTTAAAACACTGATCTGGATACAATCTTTAAGGCTGGCTATTTAGCTGCAATTGGATATGCCGAAATGATTTAGTGACCTTGTTCTCCACTTGATGCTTGAAAGGGCTGTGTAGGAAAGGAAGGATTTTATGACACTTCATGAGTTCACTCCAGCAGTAACCTGTTGGCCTTTGTGGAGAGAGTACAATAGCAGAGTCTTCAAAGGGAAGGAAGTGGAGATCAATGAGTTAATTGCCAAGACTGCAAGCCTTATTACCTTTTGGGCATACAAATAACAATGAGCTGTTCGGAGTTTCCTATAAACATTTTAATACTAATTGGAATAGTTTCATATGGGACAATGATTTTATTTTTGTATAACACAGAAAGATAGATGTGCAATACATTGTAATTATTTTGGTTGAGAGGAGCTCACCCTCCTTTAATACAATATCATTTACCTTTCAAAAAAACGCAAGTGTTTTCAAAAAATAAAGAAATATGGGATTTGATGGCATAGAGAAGTACCATCTTGATTACATTAGTTTTAAGCATGTTAAAACTTAAAAGTTTAAGCACCTAATTTCAATGTTTGATCTAGGTTTGGGTTTCACTTCCCTTCTTAAATTGGATGAGGAAATAATCCTTATCTCTAATTCACCAGATTTAGCTGGCTTAGAAACTACAATTGACTCTTCTGTTTGGATTATACATTCTTAGCTTTAGCAAAGGTTATGTCTATTTCTATAATGGACTTTCCCCACTCAAAGGCCTCCATCAGCTTTTTTCCTGGGAAAACTATCCTAGTTTAGAAGATGATCCTTTTCCAAATCACCCAGTTCCCACCCAAAAAATTCCAAATCAGCCTTTTTCCTGCAAACATTATCCTGGTTTAGATTATTTTCTCTAGCCCCTTCACAACTTGTTTAATATTAAATTGAAAAGAAAATTATATTAAAGAAAAAAGTCAACATACATCCAAGAAAGGTGATGAGAAAACACCTTGCCAGCAGGAAACAAAAAGACATAAATCATAAGACCCAAATGTATTTAAAAACCAGAATGTATTTCAGCTTCTTGAATCTCACTCTATTTGGGTTCTGCAAGATGTTTGTCTTCCCACTGTATTCCACTGGGTTACTGTTGTACCTCTTTCCTCTATCATCAATAAAATTTTTACCTTACCTTTAAAAAAATATCATAAAACAAGAAAAAACCCTCCCAAAAGCTCTCAAATAGAACAGAAATCTCACCCAAAAGACTCTGTAACATTAGCAAAATCAGGAAGGATCAAAATCAGCCTCTTCACAACTTTCATCAGTGACTTGAGTATCGAAAGGTTAGTACACTGGCAAATTGGAAAATGTTGATTTTATTGGAATGCCCCCCCCCCCCCAAAGTGAGAGTAGTTTTTTCCATGCCATTAACTTCGTAGAAAATCTTTCCACAAGACCACAATGGGTCCCAAAAAGCCATTTACCTAGGATTTCCTCCCAAAGTCAATCCTACGGATCTTGTTAGCAATCCACTATCTCACAAACCAAAAAGCCAAGCACATATGATCAACTCTTTTTGATCCATGTTATTACATTTTGGCAGGTTTACCTTTAAACAAGACATTCTTTTTATGGTTTCCGGGTTAATCTTTAAATTCCTGACACTCACTCCAACATCCACCAAAAATCCTTTTTTTTTATGAATCATCCACCAAAAATCATTGTGCCATCTATAAATTGAAGATGGGATATAATCTCCTATCTCTTACTATTCTGAAACTTCTAACCACTTCTCTTTCCTAAGCTCTCTGAAACAACCTTTCCAAGGATTTTCACCACCAGAATTAAAGAATGGAGCAGTGTTTTAAAAGCGCAAGGCGCAAAAAAGGCGTAAGGGTCAATTTGCGCCTGAGGCACAAGGCACAAGGCGAGGCATGCGCCTTTTTAAGCAAGGTGCAAAAAATAAAAAATAAAAAACGGAGCTAAAATAATAAAAAATAGGAGCTCAAAATTCAAAAAAATGAAAAAAATATTAAACATAATACTAATAAAAATATAAACTTAAATTTTAAAATAAATGTTTAAAAAAACAATTATCTAATATTAAAATACATAAATATAACATGTAAAGCATATTCAAATGAGAATTTAAAAATAAAATCAAATATATAAAACATTTTCAAGCATATAAAACCCACAATTCTTTTTTTCTCAATTGCATTATTTCAAGTAGCTAATGTGATGTAAAACATATTACATTCCTGATTCTACGAGCCGCCTTTGTGCCACACCCCTTGAGGCAAGCCCAAACAAGTCCACGTTAGGTCTTAAATTCTAAGTTCTCACACAAAAAATAATGATTTATAGTCTTTATTGCTTTTCAATTTATTAGGATGAATGAACGAACAATATTACCAAATAGGGGGTTCTCAAAGCTTCAATGAGCGAGTGAAGTTTCAAAAGTTTCAAAAGGTGCACGCCTGGGCTGAGGTGCAAGGGGCACCATAGGCGTGTGCCTTTTGAAAGGGCTGCGCCTAAGACCTGAGCGAGGCGCCTACCCCAAAATTTGCCTCGACTGTGTGTCTGGGCGTGCTTTTAAATCACTGGAATGGAGGGAAAAAAATCTCCTTGCTTCCTTTGTTTCATGAAAAGAATCATTGGGTTTTCCATTAATATAGATGGAGAAATGCATGGATGTAATAGAATCCATCATCCACTTTATGCATTTTCTCCTGAAATCCTAACATTCATTTCAAACAATTCTAATCCACATGATAATGCCTTCTTGGGATCAAGTTTACACACATCTTATGGCCCTAGAAAACTTAATTTGCTTCTTTTTATATCAGCAATAGATCAATGAGATTTTGTTAAAAGAGAAAAGGAGGAAAATATGGGAAACCATGCCAAAGGGCTACTTCAATCCAAGAAGCATGCATCACACAAGAAAAAAAATAAACACTTATGAGTTACAACTGTCTACCCCCAAGATCTGACCCCAAAAAAAGTTTTTCCCTCTTTGTTCCTTCTCTAGTCAAAGAATCATCTAAAGAATTGGTAGATCTTTGGATTCATCCAACCATGGTGGTTAAGTTGGAACCTAAAGATCTTGCCTCTCTTATAGCATGAATTGAGATACTCTTACAACTAGAGAGCCATACAGAACCAACTTATGGAGAGATAATCCACAAGTGCAAGAGGAACTCAGGAAGCAGATTGAGCTCAAGCCTGGAGATGATAATCAAACCTATTTTTGACAGATAGAAGGCATGGGGAGAGATCACTACAGGAGGCTTTCCCAGCTTTCTTCAACTTAGCAGTCAACAGAGAGGCCTGTGTCCAGGAGTGTTACGAGATATTGGGAGGAATGTGGTTTGAAATCCCAGACTACATGGAAAACACCTACAACTGGGAAAACAGATTCTTTGGCAGAGATGCCAGAGGCCCTAAATAGTGTTCAGTTGGCAAGGGGGTCCAGGGATTGAAGGATATGGACTGTCTATTTGTCAGGGTGTTTCACCTCAAAGTCATTCTTTTTGGCTTTGGAAGGTTGTAGTCATGATAGCTTCCCAAGGATATGGGAAGCCAAGGTGCCCTCTAAAGTGACTGTCTTCATGTGAACAGCAACATTGGACAGGATCCTCACCATAGATCATTTAATCCATAGAGGTATGCAGTTGGAAAACATATGCAGCCGATGCAATGACAATAGACATAAAATTGCTATCTCATAATTTAGACTTAGAATTGATGATAGCTATCAAACTCAAAACTCACTCTTCAAATAAAGAATAACCAAAAGCTATTAGGCAACAATAAAATAGAAGGGTCCGCACGAACTGCAACAATGATGGGAATATTTGCTTCATGTATCCACCAACATAACAAGAGAAATGCAAGCTTTAAATTAATTCCTTACTGACCTCTTTGTGCTTTTTCAAACCAAACACCTCTGAATCCTCCACAGAGTGATCCCTATCTCGAAATAGCTTACGGAAAAAACTCTCTGTTCCAGGACTACTTTCAGATGAACCACCAGAATTAGAATTTTCATTTGTTACTGCAGCTTTGTCTTCTTCAGGATGCACACGAAACGATCTACGGAACAAAGAAAAATCTGAAGTCTCTTCTTCGTCAGCATTTGAGTTTCCCTTATCTTCATCATCATTTCTGTCAATAACATCTTTTTTGTCATCAAATTTATCTTTAAATAATTTACGGAAGAACCCTTCTTTTTCATCATCTTCTCCGGACTTTGAACTTGCTTTCTCCTCCGAGTCACTTTTGCTATCACGAAATAACCGTTTGAAGAACCCATCAGAGCTTGACATCAGCTCCTCGTCCTCATCTTTACTCTCTCTGATAAGTCTCCGGAAGAAACTATCTTTCTCTGTGTCTTCGTCATCCTTATCCACAGATTTCCTGAAAAGCAAAGCATCCCTGACTTTTGGACCTGGAATCAACTTCTTGAAGAGCTTATTCTCATCAGGGGAAAGCTTATTACCCTCTTCCTGTAAAGAGTTGTTTACAGATGAAGGTGAGAAGGAAAATGAGCGCTGCGTTGGGGGAGATGAGGTCAGTGACAGTAATCGCTGCTTCGATGAGAGTAGCTTGTTGAGAATCTGGTTCTTGCTCCCAGGGCTTGCAGGGGGATTAGGAGGGCGGACCAGTGGGGGCCAGTCACCCATCAGTGTCGCTGCTATCTGGCATTTCTCCTGAATTCTACTGATTCCCTCATTATCGTCCGAGTCCTCAAGCTCTGCCATCAAGAACCAGTGAACCTTTAGTGCAATCTGTAAAGACTTCGAGCACATGTCAATAACAAACTTATCCAATGAAGGGCTGGGCTTGTGTACCAGCATGTAGCAAATCTGGAAGATGTAGCTCTCAATGCCGGAGAGTGGAAGACTGTACATTCTGTTGCAGAGGTAATCTCGGACACCCGAATGATCATGCTTGTACAGGTAACTAACTGCAATCCACTCGCAAAAAAACGCCGAATCAAAGAAACGGATAAGCCACCCACTCTCCCCAGTCTCACTCGTTGGATTTGTTCTGGTAATCTCGCGAGGCGAATCATCCAATTCTCCACGACTCAATCCTAGAAGCCGCACCATTATCAATCTACCATCATAAACCCCAGCTCGCACCCAGTCAAATATGTAACCCTAGTTTCTCGTTGAATTCAATCAAACCGCCTCCTGAGTTCTGAAGTCCTATATAAACTAAAAGAAATCCAATTTACAAACACAATATGAATCTTCCTTCAAAACAAATTCCCCAAGAACTTACAGCTCCATTCAATACTGAAGTTCCCCAACCTCAAAGACCTACCAATTCCGCTGCAATTCAATTTGACCTGCATATCCGCAAAACCCTAGCAACTCCAGTTCTTCTGCTGTTCTGCAGAAACCTTAACTTCAGATTAATTTCGTGCAGAAAAACCTCACTCTAATTCGTATAAATTAGTAGAAATCCAACTACGAAATACAGAAACGATCGAAACTTTAAGACGACGAGACGAAGATCAGTTGTGGGAAATTTTGTGAGAAATGAAAGATGGACTTTCGCTTACGCGGGTAAAGTCTTTCTGCTAATTAATGAGAGGAACGAAGCGAAAAGAACAGCAAATCCTTTTTCCAATTCTCTTCTCTCTCTCTCCGTCATCACTCGTCGTGGACGTCTTCTTCCCAGTTGTTGTGACTCGCGAGAAAGAGATGGACAGACTCGGGAACATTTTAAAGACGAACAAATGCAAGACGAAATTGCTAACCTACGCCCTTAGTGCGTTACCAACGCACAGGAATTCTCCCTAGTACAGAATAAGTTTTTTACTTTTTTAGCTGTTTGATTTGATAATGGCTGAAAGTTGCTGAACCGAAATACTTATTGCTTTATCTTTTATCTTGTAACTATTAAAATAATTAAATAGTAAAATTTTCAATGATATATAATCGTCTACCCAATTTCAATTTGAGCAATCTAATCTAATAGACAAAGAGCTCACAACCTCCAAAGGTATAAGCTTTTTACAGTTTAGCATCTTCAGGTGTTATTAGACCTATTTACGGGTTGGGTTTTGCCTTTACATTAATAGAATATGTTTAGGCCCGAGCCTAAATCTTACCTAACTATCGAGCCTAAGTCTTGAGTCCGAACTTGACCCTCATATAAAGCCTAGGCTCAAGTCCGAGTTCGACCAAAAATTTGATTGGGTTGGGCTTTGCCTTTACATTAACATAATATGTTTAGGCCCGAGCCTAAATCCAACCTGACCATCGAGCCTAAGTCTTGAGTCCGAGCCTGACCCTCATATAAAGCCCGAACCCGACCAAAATTTTGGACAAAAAAATATTTTTTTCCTTTTATTCAATTAAAAACTATTTTATTTATAATAAAGGCTTCAAAACCTAAAAAAAATAATGAAAGATCTCACTATTACTTGAAAAAAGATAAGAATAATAAAGAAAAATATTATATATGTGTGTGTATATATATATAATACATTATCAAGTCGCGCTCGAACTTAGGCTGGGCTTTTTTTAGAAAGCCTGAGCCTGAGCCCGACCCAAAAAAAGGTCGGGCCCAATGTTTTAGGCCTAAGCCCGACTTAGATCGAGACAGGTCGGCCCGGCCCACTGGGCTACCCAACCCATGAACAGGTCTAATTGTTATCAAACTGTGAATTTAACAAATTAATAGCAATACTAATGTGTTTACTTTGAATGGTTGCATAGCCTGTTGTACATGTTCATGCTTGCGGCATATCTAGATTTTTACATTTGTATTGATATGCATCCAAAGTTTAGGTTTGCATTTTGGTGTTTTATTCTAAAGCATTTAAAATAAAAAACTAAAGTGTTCTAATACATAACACAATACATAATTGGGAAAATCTATGATGCCCAAAAGATGAACTTTGAATATGATACCCAATAACTTTGACCAATCAAAATCCAAATGAATACCACGTGACAATTGATCGGTCACAAGTTTTTCAAATATCATGTCTTTTGATAGTATTGTCAAAACTTATTTATTAAAATTTGAATACCTTGGAGATGAAGGCATTAAATTAAACAATCAATTTGGAAACATCTTTCATAGGAGAAATAGCAAATAGATGTTTCCCTAATGCTTCATAGATTAATTATTTGCTTCTATGGGCTATATTCCCTCTTTTCCAAAAGGACATTTGCCAAATTTTCTTTCTTCTTATTTCTCTTTTTCTTTTTCTTTTTTTTTTTGCTATTACGTCATTTCAATTGATGGGTACCTCAGTTTTCAACATCCACCCGCTTGAAGATTCTTGGTAAAAGAAAGGGTAACGTGGAAGGATTAAAAAAAAGAGGGGCTAGTGGAAATACTTTACAAGTTCTGGGCAGGGGTTTTTAGGCAGGGCAAATGGCCAAGGATGGCCTCCCTTCATTTCAATAAAGATTGCATAACACATAAATGGAATGCACGCTGAGCACAATACATGTTTACTTGATGATAGGCAGGCCTTAAGAGCTTTTCTTTCTCTCTCTACTTTTTTTTTTGAATTTTTAAATTATCTTTCAACCTTTGGAAAGTGCACCTTGAAGAATGCATGTTGGCTTAACAAAGGAAAGGCTTGATTGATTAATTCAATGGATTGACTAATGATAAGAGAGATGATGGGGACAATTGGGGAATTAAATGGTCGAGGATGGCCTCCATTCCTTTCTTTGATCGATTGGCGTGGTACCAAGGTTTTACAATGCCTCACACTGTGCTAGCTTGAAATGGATTTTCTGTCTTTTTTTTTCAAGACACTTGGATTTGTGATTACCCTAGTTTGAGTAAATGTGGGTGATCTTGATGAAGGTTCAACGTTCTCAATAACAGTTTCAACACAACAAGGTTACCCCCCTTCACAATGAATCCAAGATTATCGACAAACATTTTGCAAAGGCATACCCATAGGACTTATCAACAAGTCCGCAGTCTAGCTAGGCTTTGATTGTATAACCATCCTAAAAGTAGGTAGACACTCTCTCTCTTCTAGGTTCAATGTAACCTAACTAATTCATTACTCCACCATGAGTAAGTACCAAAGCAAAAAAGAGAAGGCATGCCAGCATAATGAAAAAGCAAAGAAGCAATACTTTTTTTTTTCAATTCAAAAAAGTGGTACAATGGTTCACATGAGCAAAAGGGCATGACACAATAGGATGTAGTGACTAACAATCTTATTGAAGGAGCTTGTTCAGCAAAAGAGGAGGTCGGACTTAAGCAAGAAGGGATGACTTTGAAGACCACTTGAGAAGTGATTAATTTCCCTAAGTAACGGAGCAAAATGATTCCACTACTACTTTGATTTTTTCCTCTTTTTTATTTTTTATTACTTTTTGTTTTTTTTTAATGTTCATTATTCTTTACCTCCTATTTTTTTCATATCTGAGTCAGACCCAAGCGCCACTGCTTAGGATGCCTACATACATACCCCTCTAAAAGGGGATCAGACCAATCGTAGTTCTAATAGCCTTTTTTTCTATCTTTTATGATTGTAATCGGTTGATGATTGATTATTTTAAAGACTTTTTGCTTCCCCTAAAGATGTCATGAATTCAAAATGTGAATAAAGTCTATTCTCTTTTATTTCTCTCTTTATTTATTGCTAAGGATAAATTGGACCAAAAGTGGTATTGTATGGGTCAACTTGGAGGAAGATGAACTATTAGATTTGCTGAGATCTTTGGGTGTGAGATAAGAAGCTAGCCAATTAATTACTTAGGACTACCTTTAGGAGGAAACCCTAGGCCAGTTGGGTTTTAGAAGCCAGTCTTAGAAAGGTTTGAAAGGAAATTAGCCCTTTGGAAGAGGAATTATATCTCGTTGGGTGGAAGAATAACTTTGATTAGAGCCACACTAGAAAATATCCCCACCTATTTCTTCTCAACCTTCAAAATCCCTTCTAAGGTAGCAAAGAGTTTAAAGAAATGCATGAGAGACTTTCTTTGGGATCCAGGAGAGGAAAGGAAAGACCATTTGGTCAAGTGGAATCAGGTTAGAAAACCTAAGGATTTAGGGGGTTTAGCAATCGGGAACCTAATGTTAAGGAACACAACCTTACTAGGTAAGTGGCTTTGGAGATATTCCTTTGAGGATGATAGACTGTGGCACATAATGATTGAGAGCATTCATGGGGTTGATGGAAATGGTTGGGATGTAAAACTTGCCCTTCATAGTACTTCATCTTCTCCTTATAAAGCTATCTACAAAATCTACCCTACATTCCTCAATTCCATTCGCTTTGATGTGGGACAAGGTAATAAAGTTCATTTTTGGGAAGGTCTTTGGGTAGGGGAAACCCCACTTAAAGACCTCTTTCCTGATCTCTTTGCGCTTTCAAACCTCAAGGGGAAACCCCATTTTGGGAATACTATGTCCAAATGGCGTGAATTAGTACTTGGGCTTCAAAAGGGGATTAAGGGAAAAATGAGTGTGAATCTCTAATTTGATTATTGAACCTCTTAGGGAAAATTCACTTAGACTCGTAGCTGAAAGACTCTAGAATTTGGGTAGGTTTTTCAGATGGCCTCTTCTCTTGCTCTTCTTTCTTTTGAGTACTTGCTTCCCCCACCCTTTAGTTGGGGATTTCCTCGTGAAAGAAATTTGGTGCAAGACCATCCCCCTAAAGATTCAAGCCTTCTATTGGGAATTATTCCTTGGCAAGGTAAACACTTGTGATATGCTACAGAGAAGAAGGTCATACATGTGCCTTTCTCCTCACGTGTGCTCTTTGTGTAAGGAAAGTGGTGAGACTCTACCTCACTTAATGATATCATGTTCTTTTGTGCTTCAAATTTGGGATTTCTTTTGTACTCTCTTTGGTTGCAGGTGGGTTCCCCCTTAAGACATGGTGGGACTCTTTAATCGTGACTTCTTAAGACAACGAAAGAAAAGAGGGATGGTAATGTGGAAAGCAACAAAGGCATCAATATGTTGGGTGGTGTGGGAAGAAAAGAATAACAGGATCTTCTTGGAAAATATCATAATAGTAGGAAGTGATTGATAACATCAAGGTGAAAGTAGCTCATTGGGTGAAATCCTTAGAAAGCTTTCAAGTCTTTTAAGTCACAAACATTCTAAGAAACTGATATGAAGTAGCACAGTCATCATGAGTGAGAGACAAGATAAGAATGGAGTGGAAACCACCATAAGGCAATAAAGTGAAACTGAACTTTGATGGGAGTTCCTTTTGGAAACCCAGGACTATCAAGCATAGGAAGAGTATTCAGAAATTCTGAAAGGAGGATATTGGCCATGTTCTTATGACCAATTGAAACAAGGAATTCGTTGAAGGTTGTGAACTCTTGGCACTACTACAAGGTTTGAAGGTAGCTAAACAGATGGGATACAAACATATTAAAGTGGAAATGGACTCCAAAGTAGTCATTTCCTAGGCTACAAATAGCAGCCATACCCCATGGGCGTTTAAACATGTGATTAGGGAAGTGGAAAAGATTTCAAAGGAGGTTGAGGATGAATTCAAATGGGCTCGAAGGAGTGCAAACGTGTTAGCTGATTATCTAGCAAAACAAGGGGCATTGAGACAACAACTATTTTGAGATGCACTGTAACGAGGGACAAAAAACAGGGTTCAAATGGGATCATCACTCCCATCACTGAGTTGTATAAACTTTTTCTAATCTTAAAGTTAAAAAAATTCATGCTTACTAATTAAAAAAAAAAAGAA